GCTTCCAGGAAACATGCCACTCTGGAAAGCTGCATTTTCTTAATTCTTAGTATTTAACCTATATTCTCATGAGTGTTAAAAATTCTACCTTTTTGGTAGATCTTTTCTAAAATGTGTATCATCCCACCTTGTCATCTTGACTACAGTACACTCCGCATAAGGTTTTCACTCTGCTGTGACAGAGAAAGATCTTGGTCTACAGTGATGTGTTACCTTGTTTGACCCATCACAAAATCTCCCCTGGTGTTATCTTTGTAATTTTATTTCACTCTGGCCAGCAACTACTATTTCTCGGTTCTTGTCCCCACACCAGCCTCTTGCAGCCCCCATTCTTGCCTCCTTACGTAATAGAATTTGCTGTTGTTGATAAGTCACTAAGTCATGTCAGACTCTTTTGCAACCCCTGTGGACTCTAGCCCACCAACCTCCCCTGTCCATGAGACTTCCCAGGCAAGAATACTGGAGTGGGTTGCCATTTCCTTCTCAGGGGATCTTCCTGACCCACGGATCGAACTCTGGTTGGCATTGGCAAGCAGATTCTTTAACATGAGTCACCAGGGAAGCCCCTCATATAATTTATTTTATATTAACTTACTAATTTTTCATAGCAGACCATTACCCTTCTTAGAATCCTTTTTATTTTTTATAAGATGAAATTTATTTTTTATTTTAAAATTTTATTATTTTTAGTTTTGTCTTCACTGGGTCTTCACTGTGGTGCACAGGCTCTCTAGTTGTGATGCAGGCTTCGTAGGCCCTTGGTATGTAGGATGTTAATTCCCTAACCAGGGATGGAACCCACATCCCCTGCTTTGGAAGGTGGATTATTAACCACTGGACTGTCGAGTCCAGTGGCATTCTCTTAGAATCCTTTCTAAAACTAAAATAGTCTAAGGTTCTATAAGAAAAATTTAGTCTTTAGCTATGTAGAGACTTTGGGGCTTATTTTATTTTTTATTTTTAAAAACTGTGTACTTAGGTAGGTGAGTTAGCCAGACAGCTGAGTTATTAAGGAAAATCTAGTTAATTTATTTAACCTAGAAGTTTAATTCAGTTGACCAATGACCCCGCATTTTAATTAATGAGGGACAACACCTTTCATTCAAAAACTTTCAAAGGATTTCACCATATGAACTTTGACCACACCCTGTGGTACAAAGATGCATTCTAACAACAGTTGTTGGGTAGCTCTTCAGCCATTTAGAAGCAGGTACACAAAGCAGTCAGATGAGTTTCCTGAGTTCACACAGCAAAACCTCTAGGGAGTAAGTAAGAAACATCTGACTTTTTCTCAGTCCATTTGCCAAATAACATTTCCTCTTCAGGTGCAAAATAAAATTAAAATAGTGAAGTTTATTTCTTTACTAAAGGTAACTCTAGTTAATGGATATGATGGTTAATGTTATGTGTCATCTTGACTGGGTCATGAGGTGCCCAGACATTTGGTCAGAAGTTATTCTGGGTGTTTCTGGATGAGATTAACATTTGAACCAGTAGACTGAGCAAAGCAGACTGCCCTCCCTTAATGTGGGTGGGCCCCATCCAAGCAGTTGAAGGCCTGAATACAGTAAAAAGCCTGACCCTCCTCCCAGTAAAGGAGGGTTCCTTTTATCTGGACTGCCTTCAAATCAGAACATCAGCTTTTTCCTGCCTTTAGACTAGAACCAAAACCTTGGCTCACCTGCTGACCTTCAGTTGAGAACTACACCAGGCTCTCCTGGGTCTCCATCTTGCCCACTCATCCTGCAGCTCTTGTGACTTGTCAGCCTCCTTAATTGCATGAGGTGTGAGCCAATTCTTAACAATAATTCTCTCTTTCTCTCTTATATAGTTGCTCTCTCTCGGTCTGTCTGTATGTCTGTCTGTCTCTATTCTATTCATTTTGTTATATTCTATTCACTTTGTTTCTCTGGAGAATCCTAACACAGTGGACATATACTAATGTCAATTAATTAAAGGAAGAAATACTTATAAAGGCTTATCACTTCTCCAGCAGAAAAATTCCCTTTTAAAAGGTTTGGCTGTGCAAAATTCATAAAGGGATTGCAGATTTCTGTTGACTAGAGAGAAATTAAATTTCAATGTTGAAAAAATCCCAATGCTGAGATACTAAATTTCTAGAAGATAGGTGCTCTGTCAGTTTTGCTTTATAGTTCTAGTACTGTGAACAGCATGAAAGAAATTCAGCCTTTTTAATATAACAACATTATTTGATGGTGATGTAACAATGATGATACCAAATAAGCCTTGGGAAGCTACTGTTGACATGATAACGCAAACAAGATAATATCTAGGGCAATCAGGGGTGATAGAATTTACTGATCTCAGTCCACCCTGAGTGAAGATGTTTTCTTCTTGCTGATATTACAAAGAGCTAGGCTTCTACATTCAGCACTGACCGTGAGTCCAGCTTTTTATCTCTTCGCTGTGCTCCTACCATACTCTCCTCTTCTGCCCTCTCCAGATCCTTCCCAGCATCAGAGCTAAACACAAACCTCTCCACCTCTCAACTCCACCTCATCCTTGATGTGTCCTGTTTTCTTCTGTCCAATAAAGGAAGGAGGGTGGAGCTGTGTCTTCACTGGCAGCCAAACATCTTGGGTCCTTGCTTCAGGCTCCACCTCCCACATCAACCATCACCCAGTATGGACTACACAGCTCTTACCCAGAAGCTGTTTTTCCATCCTAGGAGCTGACCTCATTGTTTCTGGGGTTGGAGCCATCTACAAGGCGACACTTGCCAACTGGGGAGTTTGTAGCAGTTTTGCGTTTGTGGCACGGGAAGTGTCGGCCTGTACCATTGTCTTTTATCTTAAGGGCGGCATTAACAACCTCTGTTCACCTCCTCTGAGCACAAACGTGGCTGAAAACACAGAAGGACGACTTGCATGTCACACGTGGATGTAGTCTGTGAATTCACTAGTTCAGGAGCTTTGCTGTCATTTATGAAAATTGCCAGAGTGTACAGCTCTGCTTCCTGTTCTTGCAGACCAGCATGACATTCTGGCTCGGTTGAGCCTCTGTCATGGGTTGCCTCACAAGCATTGTCTAGGGCTGTCATTTCCTGGCAGTGAACAATTATCCCACATTGCCTCAGGATGCTCTCACAGTGTCCTTCTTGTGGTGGCTGAAACAGTCTTCAAAAAGCAAATGTGTAGCTAGAGTCAGTCGTTTGGAGAAGATGGGCAGAAACAAAGCTCATGTGGTTTGTTGGCAAGAACACCAAATACAGTTCTAACAGCACAGCTACACACTCTTAATAGCAGAGGAACTGGCCCCCAACCGCTCACCATTTAGTGTCATAAACCCCCATGTGTCTTCCTGTCCCTTTTCTCCCTACACTGAGGTTGGAAAGGTGGCAGATTTGTCTCTATTTTTCCACAACCAGCCTGGCACATAACACTGTCTACTGGACACCACCACACACTCTCAACCATCCAGCCAATCAGCTGTCTTTCTAATTTTTTTTTTCCACTGATGTGCACTGTTTTCTTGGCCATAGCCCTAACTTTGGGTACCTTAATTTTCTCATTATTTAAATGTATTCATTAATTTAATCCAAGTTGAAGCTGCATCTTCAGGAGAGAAAGTGTTCTGTTAGTGCTAACTATGGTGGTACAGTGGTAAAAAATCCACCTGCAAGGGCAAGAGATACAGGAAACGCGGGTTTGATTCCTGGGCCAGGAAGATCCCCTGGAGGAGGACTTGGCAGCCCGCTCCAGTATTCTTGCCTGGAAAATTCCATGGACAGAGGAGCCTGGTGGGCTAAAGTCCATGGGGTCACAAAGAGTCGTACGTGATGGAGCACACATGCAGGCAGACATGTTTCTTCAGATATGTATTGGGAATAATTAGACTGTCTACCTTAGTAATTCATCAAATATCCACCTAATATTTATTTAATACCTACTTTGTGTGTGCCATGGTGCCACCATGCTAAGTGCTTATTGGGAAGATTTAACAACAGATTATATATTACTCAGGAGATTTCTGTCTTTGAAAAGTTAATAATAGTTATTGCGTATTTTAAATGACAAAGGCCTTTTCAATTTTTTTTTTAATACTTGGGATTTTTAACAGTAGGAATTTAAATGCAAGAAAGGGATAAAGGAACAATTTCATTTAAACGAGGTTTTGGAAGGACTAGATATAATGATAGTAACGATGTGGACTTCCCTTATTAGAAGATAAATACTTGGTGAGACATTTACTGACTCTGGGGTCACCATGTCACCCACTTTGCAAAACACTGGTCTCTAGGCACAGTATTATTATTTTGTGTAATTTTTCTTTATCTCCTGGCATTCCCATGGAGGCCCTTTCTCATTTTTCTTCCTGTGAAAGTGAAATAAAGACAAAGGAATCTATAACTTCAGAGGTCTTGAGATTCTGTTGTTCATACCGCCGGTTAAAATGATTTCTGAATTTTTCGTTGCTTTCCCTTCAGCAGTTTCATTTGCTAAAGATCTGAGACGCAGAGAATTCGATTCTGTGGGCTGATACAGATACATGTATCAGATGTATGTAAACAGATATCGTGTTTAACAGATACAGATATCTCCTAAGAACCCTCCTATCTCGTGGCTTTTAAATTGTTCAGGATTTTATAAATACCATAACCTCAGCATATTAAACATTAAGGGACTTCTTCAGATTCCCAGAGCCTTAAAGTTAGACGATGCAAATATGTGCGAGTGTGTTTCCATGGTGCTGAATAAAAGTTATGGCAGGGTTTTTCAGAGCAGCATCACTATAAGCGTCACTCCTGCCACTGCCTTTCACAAGGGCCCACTTGCTGTGAAATATTTTGAAAACCGAGCTGAAGTGAAGATAACGCAGAGCGCAAACAGGCGGAAATACGAATAAACTGAGCGTGGCTGGCAGAAACCGAGAGGCTGGCAGTTTCCGCAAAGGAAGAGAAGGCTTGGTAAACCTGGAGGAAAAACCCGCCCAGAGCTGTTGTTTAGAAACCTCCCCACCTCCGTTTCCCTTGCCCCTAGAGTGGGGGGAGCTCCCCAGAGCCGAGGAAGCAGCCCCCCAAAACCGCTTCCGTGACTGCAGCTTCCCTTCTCAAGCCCCCAGGGAGCAGCGCCTTCTCAGGGCACGACTCCCTGCGACCCAAAAATAACTACACAGATAGGCGGAACGGGCCCAAGAAAGCACTTAGTTACCTTCTTATCGCTTATGGCCAGAACGCTGGAAACCTAACCCCGGGCCAGCCTTTTATAGAGAGTCCCTCGAGCCCCGCCCTAGCAACTTCTCTTAGCAACGCCTCGCCCCGCTGCTCTGCCTTCTTATCGGCCTCTGCCAGGCCCTTCCTGTTCCCCTCCCCCAGTCAGCTTTGCTCCGCTGCTTCAGGTCACGTGACTGTCCCCAGGGGAGGGGCGGTGCAGGCGAAAACGTGAGGGGCGGGGCTCTGGATGAGCGAGCTTACGTCATCAAGCTACGCCGGGTGGGTGGTGGTTCTTAGCGCTCTTGGGAGTGTCGAGGTTCCGTGACTGGGTGAGATGGCGGAGACGGCGGCGCTGGTGTGGCTTCGGGGCCCTGGCTTCGGGTGCAAGGCGGTGTGGTGTGGTTCGGCCCCGTGCTCCGTACGAGAATTTATCAGTCGACACTGCGAAGATCAGGTGAGGTTTGTGGTTTCTGGAAAGAAGAGGACAGAGGAGGACAGGGGCAGGAATAGGTGCGGTGAGGGTCTGTCGGGGGGCACGTCTATTCTTTGGGGTTTTCAGTTTTTGAGGCTGAGGGTTCCTCAGTTTGAAGATGCTTCAAACTGATAATGAGGCCTTACGTCGCTTTTGTTTTGTGATGGTTTTGTCTCAGAGAAGGGAGAAAGACCCTCTCACAGGCGCTGTTGTCCGGCCCTCAGTCTAGACTAACAGAATACCCTTTGGTGTTATTCTCTTCATCCGTAAATGAGTCATTTGGCCCAGAAGATTTTCAAGGCTCACTTCCTTGGTGGCTCAGATGGTAAACCGTTTGCCTACAATGCGGGAGACTCGGGTTGAATCCCTGGGTCGGGAAGATCTCCTGGAGCAGGAAATGGCAACCCACTCCAGTATTCTTGCTTGGAAAATCCCATGGACGGAGGAGCCTGGTGGGCTATAGTTCAAGGGGTCGCAAAGAGTCGGACAGGACTGAGCGACTTCACTTTCACTCCTTACGTTCACTCTACAGTTAATGTGACGTGCATTTTTGTCCATTGCTAACACAGTCCTGTTAGCTCCAACCTAGAGAAGTATGTCATATCCAAAGGGTGATTGGGAAGGAAATGGATTCTTTCTGGTCACTGGTCTCACATAGGCCCTGTCGAGAGCATGATTCTTAGGGCCTGTCATTTAGACGTTTTCATTAATTATATGATGCTCTTATTTGTCCAGGCGTATTTTTCAAAAACATAAAGTTACACATGTGTAGTTTACTTAATTATGAAGTAAGCAAGCTCTTACCAATTATAAGATATTAAACCTATTATGTTATTTAAAGAATTAGATGCGCTCCTTGAATCTAATTTTAATTTTGACATTTGACCTCTTACTGTTTTTCTTTATAAGCACACGTCCTCTGTGTTTCCCTAGGCTTTCTCTAGTTGTTATTTATGAGCTAAACATATGTTAACACTGCAGTCTAGACCACATCTTTAGTTGGACTGGTTCCATGAAGAAGCAATGTGTATTTGCACATCGTGTAGTTTTTCAGTTTCCCTTTTTCTTCCTATACTTCAGTCCAGTTTAACTGCTGTCAGAACTGATAGTTTCCATCAGTTTGCCATCTGAATGGGGAAATATTTTCCAAAATAGTTGGGTTTTAATATCTTTGAAAATAACTCTTATCTCATGAGTACAGTTTTCAAACTCTTTGAGAGTTGATCCAAAGTGGGACCAGAAATATTTAGACCTTAATTATGAGGAGTCTTGGAAAAAATTTAAAATAAGAAGCAAGAAATATGAATGAATGAATTCAGTCAGATACTTAAGAAACATGGCTATAATAAGTATGAACAAAAACACAAAACTTATAAAAGGGCATTTGATGAGATACTGGCATGAATAAAAATAGGGCAGTTTTACACCTGTGCCTTTTAAAACAAAACTATTCTGACACGTGATAAAGTTGGTGTTAGCTCTCCCTGAAGAAGTAAAAAATCAGCCCAGCTATTCATTAGGTAGATATAGCCAGCTGCAAAGTCAATAAGAAACAGTGTTTCTCCCAAGGACATGGTGCAGTGTAAAATGTCAAAATGTTTTCCTTGAAAGTCTACTTCCTTTTCATTCTTTTTGAAACCTTACCTTGAAAATCATAGATTAGAAGAGTAAACTGCTGTTTGAAGTTGTATCAGTAAGAAGCATCCCACTCTTGCCTTGAGAATCTAAGTCCCTTTGATGTAGAGAAGCACTCTTGATTTCCAGGTGCGGAGCTTCAAATTAGGTGTTTCTAGACAGAACATTCGGAGAAGGCAATGGCACCCCACTCCAGTACTCTTGCCTGGAAAATCCCATGGATGGAGGAGCCTGGTAGGCTGTGGTCCATGGACCGGTTGCTAAGAGTCAGACATGACTGAGCGACTTCACTTTCACTTCTCACTTTCACACATTGGAGAAGGAAATGGCAACCCACTCCAGTATTCTTGCCTGGAGAATCCCAGGGACAGAGGAGCCTGGTGGGCTGCTGTCTATGGGATCACACAGAGTCGGACACAACTGAAGTGACTTAGCAGCAGCAGACACAACATTGCATATTTATCTTAACTTTGTAGTTTCCGAGGAAACAGGAGCCTGGATCTCCTTCACAGTCTAGATCTAGTATTGACCCTGATGCACACAGCCCTGCTTTATTGTGAGCCTTTTAAAAATATTTTCATTTAAATTTTATCTAAATCCCATCCTTGCCCCCAATCCTATAACTGTATCTTTTTATTTGTTGGTGAGACACCTCATGATTCCTCTGGTGTGCAGTCCCTCTCTTGTAGTGAGTCAAGAAATTTGATTTTGTTGGACTACATGTTTTTCTCTGGTGGCCTTGGCTGATTGGCCCAAGACACATAATACTTTGTGCTCGAAATGCCTTATAAAGATTAAAAACAGTTAAATTGATTCTAAATTTTCTTTTTTTTTTTAAATTTTCTACTAGAAAATTGGCAAGAATTTTAAGTAGAAGAATGCAGTTTTGGTAATCAGTTGTCTGATTAAGTGGTTTTGTTCAGAAATGAAGTATGATGTATAATCTTTCTGCCTGCATATTAAAGTTTTTTGAAGTTATTTAGGATTTTAGAAATACGATACTCATTGGATATACAAAATGTTAAACTAAAGTGGCTCTTAATTTATAAATATCTAGAAGGTGTATTACTTGTCTCATTTAATTTTTACAGCTTTTTAAACAGGATTTTATAGACAAGAATAATCCTTCATGTTAATCACATAATTGTATATGGCCTGAGTTCCCTTGCTCCTCTCTCCTGGTACCATATTTGCCTGGGAAAATGCCAGTCAGTTTAAATCCAACTCTCCACCTATTTTGAGTGGCATCTAGGCAGTGACCCTGGTAGGGGAACTAATCACATAAAGCAGTCTCATGACAAAGTCACATATACCAACCTTAGTGCTGCTTGGCAATTCTACTGTAATTGCATTTGGATTAGAGAAATCCGCTGGATTGCAGGACTGCTGAGAGTATTGATCCCGCTAGACCTTGGGCAGCTGGACAGAACCTGGGGATGCTGAGAATCTCAACCCGTCCTTAGTAACTACTCACTTTCCCCAGGGTGTCATCCAGATATTATTTGTGTTTACCCTGGTATGAAAAGGATTGAGAGGCACTGCTCAGTTCATCACTCTTTCACTCACCTAAATTACTCTCTCAAATTCTCTCTCTCTAAATCTCCAAGACTTATTCCATCTCAAGGACAAACTTTTTATTCAAGCAGTAAGGAATTTTCCTCTCCTCACAGCAGTGCCTCTGGTAGGTACCTGCTGTATATTCAGCCTTCTTATGTGTTACTGTGGATGAACTGTCGTTATTTTACAAGTAATTTGCAGTTATCTTCTACTTTGTAGAGTAACCCCTCCTTCTCACCTACTGACAGACTTACTTGGCATTAGTGCTTTCTCCCCTGTATTTTCCCTTTTTATTGGCTCATTCCTACCAGTGTGCAAACATGAGCCCACATCCCTTCCAGCTGTCGCTTTATTTTCTCTGATTTTCTTGATTAAAAAAAATATACTTGAACATAAAGCTCTTCTTTAGAACGCACTCTGGTTCAGCTTTTCTGTTCCCATCACTTCAACAGCTCTGTGTCATGCTGGTCAGTAGCTTCTGTGTGGCCGTATCCCACGATCAGTTTCCGGTTTCCATCCTGCTTGGCCTGTGGGCCTCAGTTTGCACAGTTGACCATTCCCCCCCCTTAGTGCACTTCTCTCACTTGTGCAGATGACACCCTCAGTTCTCTTCCATCTCGCTGGCCTCTCCTTTCCAGTCTCTCTCGCTGCTTCGTCCTCATCACCCTGAACTTTCATGTTGCAGGAGCCCCTCCCTCATCCCAGTGGTTTCTTGTCCATGCTCATGGCTTTCAGTACCATCAGTGTGCTGATAGCTTTCAAGTGTAAAACTTCAGCACAGACTTCCTCCCCAAACTCCAGACTTGTATAGCACCTGGTCTACTTGGCAGCTCCATCCGCTGTGTAATAAACATCTCACACCAAAATAATCCGAAATGCGACTGATTTTCTCCTTCAAATATCCCCTTCCCTCTTAATAGGTGGCAACTCTTTTTCCATTTGTCAAACCAAATTTTTGAAATCTAATTTCCATTGAGCTCATCCCTTCATTAGAGCGTTAGCATTTTCGTTCAGCGTGTCCTCAGAATCTCATATTTCTCTTCCACTCTGCCACTACTGCCCTGGTACACACAGAAATGTCTCACCTGGATTATCACAGTAGCTTCCCAATGATCTCTCTGCTTCTGTAATCTTATTTTTACAGTTTAACAGAGTGATCCTTTAAGAGCTTGACTCTGATCTCAAATTTGTTCAAAACTCTACAATAGTTTTATTCAGAGAACCATCCAGAGTCCTTATAATGGTCTTGAAGGCCTCATCACTCCCCTTGTGAACTCCATTCCAGCCCTGCCGGCTGTGTTGCTCCTTCTTGAATACTCTAAGCGCATCTCTGTTGCCGTCTTTGCATTTGCTGTTGCCTCTGGAATGCTGTTCCTCCAGACCACCGTATGGCTTATTCTCTCACTTTCTTAAATTGTCTGCTTTCTCTGACTGACCATATAGATTAACTAGATTACCACCACACCTATTCACATATCTTAACCCCCTTTACCCTGCATATCACCACTTGACATAATATATAATTTGTCAGTTATATAATTATATCAAACATAATATATGTTTGTTCA